GTTGGAGCATCAGACCTTGGGGGAACACAGCACAGGTCTCCAAATCTTCAGGGTTCCCACCTAGAGCAAATTTCACAGTCCAGGTCTCAATTCCATCATCTATAACGTGAGATAATAGTTCCCCACCTCCGAAGCATGTTGTTAGGTAAAAATGTTCATTGTGGGTGCATGGGTGTTATGGAAACAGGGCTTGTATAAAAAATAAGAATCAGGAGACGAGTGCATTGAGCTTAGCCTGGAGCTTGCAGCGGTGCCTGTGCCGCTCTTCTGCGTTGGTGGTGTCTTCGGAAACATTTGGAAATCTGCATGCAAAGGTCAGTACGTTGTGTTTTAACTGGGAAACTCTACAATTGTTCTACTTTTTGACAGATTTAGCTATTTGTGTCCCATCTTACAACAACTTAAAAGCACCACTTTCCTGCTCAGTGAGCATAATCCAGTCAGGACAGGCAGATGACTTCCACTAGTAAGGTTTTTGAATGCAAACATTAAGTAAAATAATTAGTTATCGTTCTAGAAAGTCTCTGATCTTCCATTATAGTGGCAAGTTCCAAAAAGAGCTGAGTACAATAGAAGATCTTCAGCCAGGAGGAAAAGATAAGCTTCCAGTGTTTTCATCTCATGTTTGGATTTTTTTTTTCCTTTTGAAATGGTAAAAAACCCAACCCACCCCTTATTTAAGACACTTGAAAACTCTGAGGAACTCCTCAGGATTAGTGCTCGCTCAGTCAGTGAGCTCAAAATAGATTTGCTAGGGTGTTGCATGATCCAGTACAGAGATTTAATAACTATTAGCTACCTTTGCTTTTCTTAAACAGAATGATGCCTCCTAAGGAGGTGTAGTATAACATCACTATCTTCTGGAAGAATGATCTTTACTTTACCTGATGAAATAAGACTGAATGTAAGCCTTTGCTGGCTCCAACATATCAGTAGGCAGATCTCTTATGAAAACTAAACCAAGAATTGAAACATCTTCTTGTCTTGGTTTGACCCTGGTGAGTGACTAAGCACTGTGCAGCTGCTTGCTCGCTCCCCCGCAGTGGGATGGGGAAAGAATTGGAAGGGTAAAAGTGCAAAAACTCATGGGTTGAGATAAAGACAGTTTATTAGGGAAAGCAAAAGCTGCACGCTCAAGCAAAGGAAAACAAGGAATTCATTCACTGCTTCCCATCGGCAGGCAGGTGTTCAGCCTTCTCCAGGGAAGCAGGGCTCCATCACGTGTAACCATGAGAAGACAAAGGCCGTCACTGCGAATATCCCCCCTCTTCCTCCATCATCCCCCAGCTTTTATTACTAAGCATGACACTATATGGTGTGGGGTATCCCTGTGGTCAGTTGGGGTCAGCTGTCCCAGCTGTGTTCCCTCCCAACTTCTGGTGCACCCCCAGCCTACTCGCTGCACGATGAGCAGAAAAGGCCTTGGCACTGTGTAAGCAACTGCTCATTAATAACTAAAATACCTGTGTGGTGTCATCACTGTTTTCATCACAACTCCAAAACAAGCTACTATGAAGAAATTTATCTCTATCCCAGCCAAAACTATATATAAATATAAATATATGTCTGTACTTACTTTCTGTACTGCACTAACCTGTAGTCACCATTGGACAGCTATGTCAGATTGTCTAGGAAAAAGCCCAACACAACAGAGTAACTCAGTTACTTGTCAGGATAGTCTGCAAGGCTTGATTTTTCTGGGGGAAATATGTTTTATTGTTTTGGCTTTTTAAAAATAATTATGAAATGGGGAAGATCCATCCTAATGACTTCAACATTTTTCCCCACGTGAGTAACAATCCAACCTTTAGACCAGTCCTACAGCTCTTTTAATCAGCAATCTGCTGCAGTGCTGTCATGAATGTGCATGTATCTGCGTTTTCCAGTGCCCTCCTTGTATCCTACCAGAAAAGGCATTTCATTGACGTCTCATTGATGCTTTGTTGATCTTATTGATCTGATTTTTGTATGTTCAGAGAAAACACAACGCCCTTTTATTTATGGCCATCAAGCTTAGTGAAAAGTTGTCAGCAAGGATATTTATTGATCTCTTAGCCGTAGGTGGCATAGTACTGCTGCGTGTTGTGACTTTAAGAAATCTGTTTTGCTGTGCGTTTTCTTTGGATTTTTGGAGCTGTATGGTAGGCATCTGATAACAGAGGAGGAAATGTTAACTCTACTCTGAAAGCAATGGGAATTAGAACTGTTACTGAGATCTCATTAAGCTAAATCTTCTTTACATGTTATGTTTTAGAAGATCTTCATGAGACCCAGGGCGAAGGAGGAAGAATGTCTGTTGCTTTTGATGAGACAGGGGTGATTACTAGAGCCCACTGAAGCACTTTAGATTTGAGATAGTCTTAAGAATGCATTTTAGCAGTAGGCAAACAGTGGGGAGCTCTGCAGTATTTTGTATTACTGTGAGAATATGCAGAACATTATAGCCAGAATATACAGCTGGTTGTGAATTGTTCTTGTGCATTGTATAAATTTGATTAAATCTTGCTGCTCAGAGCAGTTTATGCTTGTTGTTAACCAAAGAAAGTAAGATCCAGTTTTCATAAAATGAAGCTCTACCACTGAGAAATAAACAGTGCACATGTTTTAACAACAGAGAGGCCCCTTTGGCTACTCTGTAGGCCACTGTTTGTGTACTCACAGCAGTTCTCCTATTTTATCCACTGAGGTGAAGAGAGAGAGGTATCTCTGAAGGTTCATGTTCTGTGAGACTGGTGTGTCACCCTGGGTGCTGTACATAAGCAGCTGTTTCTGCAGGTCGTGGTTGTTGAGATGTCAGTCTCTGGATGTTTGACTGCCATGCTGTAGAGCACTTGGATTGACCTGAGAAGTGGCATGGTGTTTTGGTGAACTTTCTCAGATTAAATGCATCTTTTCCATTCTTCTTACCTTTCATTCCCTGATCCTCATGTGTTGAGCAGTCAAGGATTGGACTCCCCTTTTTGTTTTCTTTTTTTCTTTATATCATTCCTATTTCATGGTAAAGATGAAGCAGACTTTGAACCTGCGATGGTAAATGCTGTTGCAGTTGCTTTTTTTCCTTTTTCTTTTTTAAAAACCCTCTCATAGGTAAACAGTCATTTTTCTCAAGAGTTCTAACAGTGTTATAACTTGTGGCGGTACATATGTTGTTTACAAAGACACCAAAGCAGTGCCTAGAGGTGGCTCTAGGCTCAAGTTCAAATGTCATCAGCCTCTTCATAACAAAGGTATCTTACTGCAGGTGGGAGAAGTAAGACTGTGATTCCTAGAAATGCGGTTAGACTGTATAGTGACACCAGAATAAGCCCTGACTAAACAAGGGGTGAGTAGAGGAGGGTTGGGTTACACTGGTGCAATGCATCAGTCCAGGCCCATCTCTTTTCCAATAGCGGTTCCATGCTCGCTCATTCCTGAACGCAGTAGTCATGCAAGTGATTTGTTTAGTGTCCTATTTTGTTCTTTTTGATTTGTAAACCAAAACAACCAATTTATTTTCAGTCATATTTTCCTACAGAATTATGTCTTGAATGCCCACTTACTTGATTGCTTGAAAGTTTTCATCTGTAAAGTCTAGCTGTTTAATTTGTGTGCTCTTGTGTGTTACTTTGTCTGAATTTGGAGTTCAGCTTTGAATGCACTGTATTTATTCATATATTATTATATTCACTGTTCTTATTTTACTATCTATATATTTTACTTTGGGTGTATCAAAGGTTTCTGTCAAAATATGTATTATAATATGTTTTTTTATTGCTTAAGTTACTGTTTCTGTTTTCTGCTGGTTCCTGCCTGTGCATGCTCTTAAAATAAACCAGCTAGACCAAATAAAATTCCTTTTGTTCTTCTGCGTGCATGCACGCCATTTTGAGATAAGGTGTGGATTTAGGTGGTAGAGACTATAAAGGGAGTTTTTGACTTTTATGAGGTTTTGTTTTGAATGTACTCTATTTTTTTAGAATTTACTTTCTGCTTGCTTGCCCCTTTGCCAGCAGAACAATTACAATATATCCCCCTCTCCCCCTTTTTTTCTTGACACTGGAGGACACAGGAATATGAAGCATGGCAAGGACATTTGAGAAGAAACTTCTTCTCAGTGAGGGTGACAGAGCACTGGACCAGGCTGCCCAGAGAGGTTGTGGAGTCTCCTTCTCTGGAGACATTCAAAACCCGCCTGGGTGCCTTCCTGTGCAACCTCATCTGGGTGTTCCTGCTCCAGCAGGGGGATTGGACTGGATGAGCTTTCGAGGTCCCTTCCAATCCCTAATGTTCTGTGATTCTGTGACATTATCTCTACAATGTTCAAATGAGCATCTTTTGCTCCTACAGAAATTTTAGAAACCCTGCAGACTTCTGTCAGTCTGAAGAAATCCAGGCCTTCATACCCGGAAGGATGTTGACAGAATGTAGTTTAGGGATGCCTTTATTTGGTACCTCCCCTCTGGGGTTCCAAAGCAGACTTAATATAAGAAGAATTCGGCCAAACACTGGTGTGTTCCTTGGAATGATCCTCTGATTCATGAGGTTAGGGAATAGCATAGGTTAAAAAAGAAATTTTAAATCCCATCATGTTGTAAGACTTTGATTTTGTTCTGATATAAACGAGACTGCATTTAGCAAAGTATTGGCAAAGTTGAATGCTGCCTAACAGGGATTTATGTCTCACAGCATGGGGATTTCATACAAACAGATGAAGTCTTCATTTCAGCAGCACAAAGTGATGTTGTATTATGGGCAAATGTGGTGGTGGTCTGGAAAAAGATGAACGGTATCAGTAAAATGTAACAACCTAAGAAGAAGTGGAGCCAGATTCTTGGGCAGAATGGATAAAAGTATACATATATTGAAGGGATGAGAAGGAAAATAGACAAATGCTTTTAACAGGGGGAAAACTGTTCTTAAAAGGAAAAAAGTTGTGTAAGCTCATTTCTTTAAAAAAGCCTGAAAACAAAACCCAAAACCAACGCCCTCCCAAAAAAAACCCTTGTTTGCTTCTGTTTTAGAAAATCTAATGAGGCCCCTTAAGAACTATGGAATCGCATGGTGAGCATATGTTTTAATTTAAATCAAGCTTCTTTACAGATGTACTTGGCATTGTGCTAGAAAGCTTAAAATTTTGCTTTGTTGTTTCAGCATGTCTATGGGTTTCTTGATAGAAGAGACTGCCCCGGTTGTGTGGAGAGGGCTCATGGTAATGTCAGCTGTCGAGAAGTTGTTGAGACAGGTAAGGACTTAGGTACATACTTGTGCTTTGGACCAGTCGGTTAATTTAAAATGCATTTAACTGATACATGAGTGTCCGTGACGTTATTTCATGTATTAGTGGTGAGCATTTTTGTATCTTGGTGGTCGTAAATTCTTAAGAATTTAATCTTAACCTCAGGTAAGAGGGAGGGTTGACGTTTACCTGTCCCCTTCAGATAGAGCTGCTGTTCCATGCATTTGACCAGTGAATCACCCCAATCTGCCTTCCTTCTTACTCCTTTTTATGCTTCTTTTTGGAGTCGTTCAAAATGCCTTTTTTTTTTTTTTAAATGTTGCCTAAGCATTTGAATGTATTGATATCTATTGCATATCTACAGCTGTATTCCCTTATGTGCTTGTTAATTCAGCAGCATTAAGAATTCTTGGAGAGTGCCTGCCGTATGACAGGTACATGAAAATCATTAGATACCATCTTTGTGTAATGCAGATAGATTGTAAGTTAATAAATTTCCTGGCATATGGAAGCAGGGTGGCTTTTTTATTTCTTGACAGTTTGGTTTTTTTCTTATTGCGAATAGATCTGTGAAGTGCTAATGAGACAAACAGCTGAAAAAATACATTAAGGTTGCATGTTTAGGCTTTGAAGTGACCCAGATTGTTCACAGCTGACATCCATTCCAGGGATTTAATGTACACAGCTTGGAGATCACTAGGTTTCTCTATGTCTTCTGTAAATGCCTCCAAATCTTGTGCTTCCTTAATGACTGAAAAGAAGATTTTTTTTTTTCAACCTTTTTCTATTTTTACTGCATTCTTCTCTAACACAGACTTTAGACCAGTGGCAGTCGTTGCCCTAGTCAGAAAAGCCATGCGTCTGCCACAATTTCAGGAAGAACATGTTTGCCTAGATTTGGCCTTTAGAAATAAGGGTTATCCATGCCATAGCTGTGGAAGGCTGTTCTGACCTCTTTGTGTGTCACATTGCATTGGCCAGGCTCGCAGGGACTTGAGCTTGACACGTTGAAGGTAGCACTGAAGGTGGCACCTGCTGTATTGGCATATTCCCCTCTGGGAGGCTGTGGACTGCAGGCTCTCCAGTGCCATTGCTGCAGCGGGTGGCAGCCCCAGATGGGAAGCGTGTGCCAGCATCCTTGTGAGGGTGCGGATGCTGCTGTGCAATGAGCTCAGTGCTCCCTAGCAACCGACAAAGCAGTTCCATGCTGGCCGAGCACTCTGCAGGAACCAGACACAGTCCTTTAATGCGCGGGCAGCAGTGATTTCCCTGACAGTGGAACCCCAATTCTGAAAGAGGAAGGCTTTACAGCTAAATTTTTTCTCTCCACAAGCATTTCAATTCTACACGATGACCAAAGGAGTCTTAAATCTGTGCTGGAAAAAGTTGCTTGCGTGTCCTCCTTCAAAGGAAGAAGCTTACAGATCACAGGGAGAACCAGCAGGTTCTATCTGGTGTACAGGTGATTTTTAGAAAATAGTGAATAACTTTTCCAGAATAACACATGCTGTTTTGCTATTAAAAATGGTGGTCTCCCTTCTGACATAGATCCTAGTCAGTCTCAGGAAGGGGTTAAGTGTAGAACCAATAGTGTTACAGCCTTGGACACCTAAACAAGAGAAGACCACAGCATGTGATGATGTTTTAAAACATTTTATATTAGAAACAGTTTTGTGATCAGGTGGAGGCTTTGAAATTTTTCTGTGTTTTCTCTTTATCTGTTCTGGTTGGTCTTGGCTATTACCTTTTGTTTGACAGGATAAAGTTGCTTGCAAGAGTAAAATACTTTTGCTTGTATTTAACTTTGTAAAACCATGTTCTTGAGAAATAGCTGCTTTACCTCTGTAACTACATATAAACCATTTAAATTAGCTCCCTAATCTAGATTTATAGTATAATATAAATGTAAGGAGCTTGTTTGCACTCAGACAAGCTGATAAAATATTAAGTTCTTAAAATAATTAAGCCAGCCAGATACAAAAAGCAGGGATTCCCAGACTTTTACATTAAAAATACTGGTGGCATTTTATAATGGTGTTTATTGTTAGATGGTTAGAGGGTTTTTTTTTTGTTTATGTTAAGAGCGTCAGGACTACGTGTTCACTTTGTAAATAACTTCGGATACTTGTTTGTTTTCTTCCATATGAACAAGTCTGTTCTGCAGAGTTTATCATGCCTCAGATAGTCCAATAAAGCATTGAAGGGCCTAGTTTCCAAATGAATTACTGGGGACTTGTTGACTCATTAGCATGTTAACCGATGATTGGTCTGTGCCTCTAATGAGTATTTAAATGCTTCTTTTACACTTGCAACTTGTGTAAATTTCTGGAATTTTTACTTTGGAAAATTCATTTATTAAATACATACACAATGTGCTTTCTTAGATACTTACTGCATGTAACCTCTCTCTTTGTGATACGTGATATTTGTCCTTCTCTGGCTTTGTTTCCTTGGAGTTTGAATGGCTTTTCAGCAGAGTCCAGAGTCCAATGTCATTTTTGTCTCTTTTCAGTGCTGTCTGCATATGGCCAAGATGTACATCACTTCTCAGATAAAACACCACCTTTTAAATCCAGGCTCTCTTTTTACTGCATTTCTAATCTGGGAAGCTACCTTTATCCTTGTGTGTTGTATGGTGTCAGACTGGTAGATAACAGGTAATAATATTGAAGACCGAAATTAGTGCTTCGTGTTTCTCTGGTAATCAGTATCTTACGAGCAAGGATGATTTTCTGCAACATATAATTTTTCTCAAACAGAATTCGAAGGAAATGTGCCTTACAATACAAAATAAAGTTAACAGTTTATTATACTATATTACATACATTATGTATGTATTGATGTATGTGTATTTTCATATAAATGAAAATATACAGTGTATTGATTCTGTAATGTGTATTGCTCAATAGAAAAGAAGGAAAGGAATGAAGAGAAATTATGGAAAGAACAAGAAATACATAAGGAAATAATTTTTCACCTATAGCAAAAGTGAATTACAAACAGTAGTGGAACATTTGATCCCATGTAAACACACTCATCACACTTTTGGTTAAATATGTCTCTAGTTTACGTGCCTTGAGATTATCCAGAGTTTTGTTGTGGCTGAGAAGTGACTTCTTCATTCACATGATTAGAGGTACTGTAGGCCCATTTACACCACAGGGTGACCTTTTTCTCTTATCTGTGTTTTAACTCTTCCAGTTTTCCCGCCACAGTTATATTCATGCAAAAATTCTTTTGCCTCTGCTTACACTTCCTTTGAATTTTGCTTGCCTGTGAGATAGAAGAGAGTACTTTTTTGGTTACTTGAGTGTTTTAAAAGAGAGTTCTTTTCTCTGATGATCTCATTAAAGCCCAGTTAAGGAAGTTTTGATACTTCTCCAGTGTCATGTGTAGCACTAGGCTATTCAGTTTTCACTTAATGTACACTTCAGAAGCTGCCTGCTCTTCTTCTGTAGTCCCATTAAGCACTTGTCGCTTCACTCTGTGTGCGTCTTGACTCTGTGCTAAGGTACTTGGTTCAGATTAAACTAGCTGCCTCAAGATGCATCATCTTGCTCTGTTGTGGAAGTGACATATGATTACCCTTTAGGGTAAGTACAGTAAAGATACACTTTTTTGAGAGTTACCTAGAGCCTGTACTTGAACAGTAATGTGTCTGAAAAGCTCTGTTGAAGTGAGTATCAAAGACACAGCTAAGAACCTTAGAAAAATAAATGCTATTAAAAAAAACCCAAAGGTAAGCAAAACTTGTTCACTGATTTAAAATGCTTTTGCAATGAGGATTTTAAATGGTCACCACCACTGCCCCATACAATCTGTACGGTAATTTTTCTAGCACCATTCTTGTTTCTGTCTGAGAACGTCTTGATAGTTCAGTGTCAAAGGGGCAATGAGAAGGGTGCAGGCCCAATCCTGAACTGATCCAGGAGCAGCATGGCTGGCTGCTGTACGTCCTGGAGTGCACTGTGGCAATTGTTCTGCCAAAAGTTGGGGGAGAGAAGTGGCAGCTGCTGCAGTCGTAGCAGCAATACAAATGGAGGGGCTTTCTTATTTAGGCAGTCATCAGTAAAACTTTTAACAGGAAGGACAGTAAGTGTTGGTTTCTCCGATCTTGAACCCTCTATGAGCAGACAGGTCAGCTTTTCTGTTAAAAAAAAATAAAACAGTAGGACTACAGGTGAAATACAAGCATGTAGTGTTTTCCTCATATCTTTATCATATCAATAGACAAAGTTGTGTCGCTAGTAGAAGCAAGCTTACACAACATGGATTATAGATGTAAACAATTCTGTTAAGTGCAAACAGTCCCCTTGGAATTAGCTGAAAAATCTGTTCTTTCCAAAGCAGGGATCTCTGGTTGATTAACATCCTTAACAGGATTTCTTACCCTGAGATGACATTTTAACCTAGTATCAAGAACATTTTGTGCGTTGGCAGCATCCTTGGTATAGTGTGGGCATAAAGTAGAAGTTGCTACTTCTTTTAGCACCACTTTAGTGCCTCTGTTTTATAAAAGGTATATATTGAAAGAAAATTAAGATAAAACAAAGTTTCACTGGGAGGGATATAATTGGAAAGGAAAGAATACAGGGAAAGAAGTGATATAAAACTTCCAAGGCAGAGCAGTTGCACATGAGCAAAATGAAATGGGGTCTTGCACTTTGAAGCACGAATAGGATTTATTCCCCGTAGATTCATGTTGAAAACCACGAATTAAGCAGAAGAATGATCAAAATTATTGTATTAGCTCAGCCCAAAGCTGAGATAGGGCTCTTTGTCTTTGTCTTGTTCCCTAAAAAACCTGTAACTCAGTTTATCTGATTATTTACAATTGCACATAATTTTGAAAGCTTGGCTAGAGATGAAGATTTTGTGTGCTACTTTCCTTCTGAAGCTGTCCTCTACCAAGGGGATAGCTGCTTCAAAAGCAGCACCTGCCAGAGGTAATGGTGGTAACTATTTATATAGTAGAGTGTGTGTGTGTGAATATCCATATATGTACT